ATTTAGTAGAGTAGAATATTTTTTTAGCAGAATAAAAAAATTACAAATTGTTGTTCATTATTTTCTTACGTGAAAATCACATTGTAATTTCTGAAAAAGGTTATTAAAATAAAATATTTCCACCGAAAACCACAGGAGTTACTGTTTTTTTTTATAAACCATTATCTTCAAATGATAAATTTTTCATTCATTTGTTTTGGGTTGATTTATTTAATTTCTTTTTGCATAGTATTCTATTATTTAAAATATCCGACTTGTTTAAAAATCTGAAATATTAAAAAAATATGGGCAATATATATTGTTGATAGAAGGGACTACGAACAAACAAACGTAGATAATAGAGGAAGGAGACAAAAATGTTATTATATTTTCTAAATGTAAGCAAGAGGAATCCAGGAATTTTATGGAGGAAAAATGGAAATTTGTATTTTCCCGGGTTGTGTGCAAAGAATATCTGAAAATGAATCAGGCTATTTTCATGGTTTTGAATATTAATAAAAATTTTACGAGAAAGTTTGGTTATATAAGAATCTATTGTATCAATATTGAGGTCATTATGCAAAACACTATTTCTAAGGAACCAAGGTGCCTCAGTGATGATCCGAAGAATTTTATTTTGTAATATTTGAATTTTATTTTTACTGGTTTTGCAAGTTAGGTCCCAAATAGGGGAAGCATAAGTTAGAACTGGATCAATTACTTGCTTGTAAAGGAGAGTTTTATTTTTAGTTGAAAGAGTTGAATATTTCCCTAAAAATGGGAGACAGAAGTGAATTTCCTTCCAGCATTTATTTTTGATATGATTAATGTGACTATTGAAATTTAATTTTTTATTGATAATAAGACTTAAATATTTCACTTCAGAAACCCATTCTATTGGGTCGTCAAATGGGTATAATTCATCACTGGGGGTTGAAGCATTACCTTTTCTAAAAATAATTGCTTGATTTTTATTTGTGTTGACTGAGATTCTCCAAAGAGTTAACCACTGCTCGAGCGTTTCGAGGAATTTTTGCAGAGTTCTAGTCACAAATTTAAGATTTGATCCTTGCACGAGTGCAGCAGAATCGTCAGCAAACAGACAAGAACTCACAAAATCCATCTGGGGGAAATCATACGTATAGATGTTATGCACGATAGGACTTAGGATGCTTCCCTGAGGGAAACCAGCTCTAATTGCACTGATGTGGGATATGGCTCCATCCACATTAACCTGAAAGGTTCTATTAGAAAGGAAATTATTGATGATACAAATAGTGTAATGTGGAAAATTAAGCTCATAATATATGAGCCCATCATGCCACAACCGGTCAAAAGCTTTACCACGTCGAGGAAAACGGACCCCGGTAATTAATTTAGTATTCATTCCCTCAGTAATGATATTTGCAACTCTAAGAAGTTGAATGTTTGGGAAGGAACCCAAACTGCTCGGGAGGAAAGATATTATCAACGCAGAAGGAGTATATTCTATTTTTTAGAATTTTTTCAAAGATCTTTGCAACACAACTCAAGAGACTGATTGAGCGAAAGTGCTGGGGAAATTTGTGATCCTTATCTGGTTTTCCAATCATTTACATTGTGGCATGTTTCCAGGAATCTGAAAAATCAGGCATTTGTTAAAATTTTTGGTTAGGTTGGTTATTACTTGAATGGGAAGACACTGCAGTGCTTTATTTGGGATATTATCTGGACCATTAGATTTTCTGATATTTAAATTTTTAATGATGGATATGGTATCGCTCGGACTTATAAGAGGAGGAATAACATTACTGCCAGGAATAGCTTATTATTGGTTATGGAAATAAAGAGCAATTACGTCTTAAACTTTTTCAATGTGTATGATCGTACGGCTCAGTATTTTTCTGGAAGGAGTCTTCCAGATGGTCATTGAAAATATTAGCCTTCTCAAGCGGAATGAACACCATTCCATTACTGCCCTGTAGAGGGGGAGTTTTATCTACCTTTTTGTTGAAATATCTATTGATGTTGTAAAGAGAATTGCACTCTGGATTGAGGCCGACTAGGAACTCATTCCAGCGTTTATTTTTAATGATTTTTTTATTTCTTTTTTAATACGATTTTGGAGGATATTTAAACTATTTTTATAGGATGGGATTCATGTATCTTACGATAATTTCCGAATGCTATTTTTAATGGCAATGAGATTCCTAATCTCTACTGGAAGTTTATGGTGTTCAGTTTTCACCTCGCGATCGAAGCTGGAACAATTGATAGCAGAGTTAAAATTACTAAGCACCGAGTCGATGTCGTTTTTTATTATTAATAATAGGATTGCCGTGTATTCAAATTATTGTGAAATTTAGGCCTGTTGGTAGTGGTAAGACAACGGAACTGGGGAGGAAGTATTGTAGTGATGGAAAAATAAAACGGGACAGGATTGTGATCGCTGGAGAAGTCGTTAATAGAGGAAGCTGAACTATTGCTGTAGTTTTTAGAAATGCAAAGCAAAATCAAGAACACTATTAATATCGGGGATGTTATGAAAGTAAGTTGGGTCGCAAGGAGCTGTAACAATTAGACTATTGATATTGGTCCAGTTGTACAATATCGTGCCATTTTTATTACAGCATTCCAGAGACTGTTTAGCATTAAAGTCACCTAGAAGAATGACTTTGTTGTTAATATTTAAAATGCTATTTTAAATATTAACATTTTATTATTTTTTATTATATTTTTTTAAAAAACGTTATTTATATTTATTATTTATATACAGTGGGCCACAAAATTGAGTATACACCTTAGAAACTTAGAGACTTTTTGTAATTACAAATTAAATACTGCTTTAAGATGATTGAATTTTTTACCTTATATACTTTAGTCTATGCTTTACCGTATTATACTTATAAAATTGTTACGTTTATTTATTTTTTACGAAAAAAAATAAAAGATCTGAGACGAGAGGAAAAACAACACCACAAAAATAAGTATACACCTTTATTAATTTCCTTTTAACGTACAAATTAATATTTTGTTGCATAACCTTTTGTTTGAATTACAGCTTGTAATCTTCTGGACATAGATTCTACTAGTGTTTTAGTGGTTCCAAAAGAAATTTTAGCCCATTCTTCTCTCAGAACCTTCTTGAGAACTTCCTTGCTTGTGATTTCGTGCTCATGTACAGCTTTCTCTATAATTTCGACCACAAATTTTCGATGACGTTTAGGTCTGGAGTGTGTAATTGCTTCTTGCAAGTATAACTGCACAATCTTCGCTGTATGCTTGGGGGCGTTGTCCTGCTGGAATATGAAGCTTTGACCCAAGCCCCAACTTACTGGCACTTTTTTCAAGTTATCATTTAAAATCCCCAAATATACATGTTTGTCCATAATACCATCAATAAAAGCAAGCTCTCCAACTCCTCCAGCCGACATACAACCCCAAACGAGGACAGATCCATCTCCGAACTTGACTGTCTTAATGGTGTTTTTAGGTGCCAGTGCTTTCCCAGCTTCTCTCCATATTTTAAATCGTCCATCGCTTCCGTAAAGATTAAACTTACTTTCATCAGAAAATATTACAGTGTTCCAGAAAGAAAATAGGCTTTAAACGATGTTCTTTGGCGAAAATCACTCTCTTTTGTCTATTCACATACTTGATGAGTGGCTTTCGTATTGGTGCACGGCCATGAAACCCATATTGGTGAAGGGTACGTCGAATTGTTTCAACTGAGATCTTTTTCCCGATTGTAGAGAACATCGATAAAGCTAGTTAAGAGGCACTCACCCTCGGATCTTTCTTTACTGAGTGAATGATCTTCCTCTTCGCTGTAGTACTCAGTATTTCTTTAGGTCCTCTTCCAGGAATATTAGCCACAGATCCAGTTTTTTTATACTTCTGTAGTATTTTTTGGAGACAACCATAAGTTACACCAATCAACGAAGCGATTTCTCGAAGAGATTTGCTCTCTTTCGACCATTTTACAACCAATAAACGCTCAGATTCAGTAGTTTCTCTACGAGAGCTCATTTTACAATTTTTATTGAGAAAAAATACTATTTAAAAGCGTTGAAGTGCAATAGCACGTGTTATAAACAGCAGCTACTCCTGAAACTCTTTAAAGAAAATTTGAAACTAAAAAAAGTGGTGGCATAATTTACAAATATAAGAAGTGTATATTCAATTTTGTGGCATGGGTTTCTATCTTTTCTTCGAATTGCTTAACTTTTTTCGTAATAAATAAGTTAACTATAGAATTGTGTTATTATAGGATGGTAAAACAGAGGTTAAAGTATCTAGGATAAAAAAATTTATTTAAATCAATATTTAATTTGTAATTGGAAGAAGTCTAAAATTTTTAGAGGTGTATACTCAATTTTGTGGCTCACTGTACATAAAAAACCGACACCATTGAATAATTTTTGTACTAAAGTTTGTTACCTACGCATGTTTTGGTAATTATAAATTTATTATTGTATTATTATTTTTCTACCATATTAAAAACAGTAGAACTAAATTGTGTTTTAAAAATGAAATCATTACGTTTTGCAGATTTAATTGACACTGATGTTCAAAATTAAGAGAAAGACGATTATTTCAAGAACTATTGAAATAACCTTATCTATTAAAAAAACAATGCAGATATTAATATAATGGCGCAATAAACTTTTAAAAAAAGTTGCCATGCCATAAAAAAGTGATTGAGTTTGATTCTTGTCTCGTTTTTCTTAGAAGAGAGACACTATTCATGACATCAAAATAAATTTCAATGCACATGGAAAAATCATCTCAATTTAACATCCTGATTTCACACATCGACAGTTTAACTTAAAAATAATTATAAATACTTGACCTCTGTTTGTAAAAACAAAGACATTAACAATATATAATTTAAGAAGTATCGTTAGAAAATAATATAGAATGTGTGTAAATACATTCTTTTTCTGAATTTAAATAATTGTATTTCAATACTGGTGTGCAAAATTAAGAAAAAATGTTTGCTTCAGTCGATTATAGCCTACAGGAAAAACTTCTTCGGCGAGTCCCATGTGGTCTAGTGGTTAGGATTCCAGGCGGGCTGCTTGGGTGAAAGCCAGGAATCCTGACCACATGGGACTCGCCGAAGAAGTTTTTCCTGTCGGCTGGGAATAATCGGCTGGGTTCGATTCCCGGCATGGGAAGAGTTTTTTTATTTTTTTTTTATTGTTCGACTCGTGCCAATGTGCATCGCTGATGAGCATTAGTGCGGAGGTTGTTTGCTGTAGACAATAGAGAGTTTTTGCATACCGTACTTTAAAAATACGGTATTTTTTTCTCCCCAGCGCGCATGCTCATAGGAAACATTATTACAGATACGCATGCGCGCTAGAGAGAAAAAAATGCCATATTTTTAAAGTATGGTATGCAAAAACTCTATATTGTTTTGTTCCGAGAGTCCTCGTCTGACCGCGAAAAGCAAACCACGTTATCTCTGGCTATGAGTGGCGGCTGGTTGTAAGGTCCCTTTGAAGCAAGAAAAAAAAAACCCAGACTCTTGTCCGAGACGTTTCGAAACACATTGTCAAACCGATTTTTAATGGATTTGCGAAAGCCATTCATTCGTCCCTCATCTGGACAGGGCTTAACAAATAATCGATTCGTCTGATTTTAAAACGGATCCTCACAATCGTTGCCCTTCACACTGGCAAATGGACACAGTTCGAAGTGACTCTTTACAACAGGGGTGGCTAACTAATGAAATAAGTTCAAAAACTAACAACCAAGTTCTAAAATGAAATTGATCGAACGTAAAACACGCTCAAGCATAATGGAGGCAACACCCATTACGATGTACAAATACCCAAATTGAGATCGATTTGCAAAAGTTAAGTGAAAGAGTGGAGAAACAAATAGCGCATTAGTAAAATAAATATTTTTTATTGATTTTTTTTTTATTTCACTTATATTCATGTATATTTTTAGTGTTCTATATTTCTTTACAATGTGCGTTTAGTATTATCATTATTATATTATTTATGTTTACATCTAAGAATAATAGTAAACACGAAAATAACTCATTTTGTTTCAATTTTTCACTCCAAAAAAAAAAAAAAAATTAAAATATCTATAGTTTGTTTAAATCTAATATGGCGATATATAATTTTACATGCGGCCCGCGAGATCATTTGAGTTGGCCAACCTTGCTCTGCAATATCTTTCCCTAAACATCATGAACAATTAGTTTACAGTGTAATCCCTTAATCGATAATTTCATTCTATATTTCAAGTCTAATCTTTCTACGTGAACCTTAAAATGCAAAACAGTTTCGTTTCTCGTGGAGGTATCTATGTTTTTAATAGTTTGGTTTGTCGCTCTACGGTCATTTTCTGCACACTTTATGCTAATTAGAACGTGACTTACAGTTCCGAACCACTCACAAACATCCATGCCACTGTCAGGATTCGAACTTAAAGCCTATGGTACCAAAGGCCAGAGCGTTAGCTAATTGGCCATCAGGCCACATGGTCTTCATACATATGAATCACTTCATCTGTTGATAATATTAGAACAAGACTTGCCATATAATTGGTTGAAAATGCCTCGGCCATTGATTTAAATATGCACTACTTGTGAATAAAAGACAACACTATCCCAAATAACTTATAGGATCGTTTACAAGATAATAAAGTTATCATTTGCCAAATGGATCGTCAATATCAACCGGTTAGGTCGCCAACCTGTAATAGCCTATTAGCAATAAAATGAAACTTTTCCTGAAGATTTCAAATTCACAAAACATATAATAGTCAATGAATTGATCCAGATTGCCGTTTGAAGTCAATATGAATAAATTATTATAATTAAAAACAATAAAAATTACATGATTTTAAGGTAATGTAGAATAAAAATGAACAATATTTGAGTCAAATTTAGCTTAATTCATATGACTTTTACTGTCATTAATAAAGAAAGCAACTAAAATTGTTATAAATAGTTTCAATTAAACTTGCATTTCAATTTTAAATTTCCTCAAATATTTTTATCACATTTGCATTTCTTCAAACCATTTTAATAAAACTTAGCTAATTCAACACATCAATTGATATTTCACAAAACCATTTAATGATAAAGAACAATTATCATTAAATGATTTTATAAAATATCGATCAATAGTGTGCTAATCAAGAAGATTTAACATTTTAGGATGTATACTTGATTTGCCATGAAACTTCATAGTTTACTAATAATATAATGCCAAGACTTTATATAATTTATTTACATCAAATAAAAATGTAAGCAAAGAAAAAAATTACATATTTACAGTACATATATATAGAAAGCATCTATACAAACTTACATTGATATTTAACTTTCAATCATTAATAAATCCATTGAATGAATTACAGAAACGTTTAATATTTGTTACATTGTACACTATTAAGAAATAAATAACAAATATTTAGTTAATCATTCTAAAAATGTCATGTTAGATTCATCTATTGCATCAAGTAAATTAAATGATTTAAAATATAACCAAAAGATTCTTTTAAATACCAGAAAGTGTTAATAATTGCATCATAAAAAAGAAGTGAATGAAAAATATTCCATATAGAAATTTATTTTTTTACCATGGCATGAATAAGAAAACTACGGTTACTTATAAATTAGATAAGATATACTGTAAGTGCAATTGGAATGAAATCTAAAATTAAAGAGCACAAACATTTAAATACAAGTTTATTTATCATAAATTGATATTATGGTTGCATTATTATTAAAGCATATTCATTCAATGTCTAGATCTATTGGGATGAATGTTTACTGCAATGCCTAAAAGAGGCCAACTTACTTTTAAATGCTTCTCTTGCACATGTAAGGCAGTCCCCTCCCATATGATTACGGTTAAAATGTCATTTTGAAAGTTTTTTTTCCTGAAAAACCTTTAAAGCACACTTCACAAATACAAGGTTTTCCTTCTGTATGAGTAAAGCAATGTCGTTTTAAATTACTATTCTGCGAAACACCTTTACCACACATTTCACAAATATAGGGTTTTCCTTCTGCATGGATATGATGATGTCTTAATAAACTGCTTTTTACTGAAAGGCCACTATTGCACATTTCACAAATGTAGGGTTTTTCTTCCACATGAATACGATAATGTTCTTTTAAACTACTTTTCTCTGAAAAGCCTTTACCACACTGTTCACAAATGAAGGGTTTCTCTTTTGTATGAACATGATAATGGATTTTTAAATAACTTTTCTGCGAAAACCTTTCACAGCACATTTCACAAACATGAGGCTTTTCTTCCATATGAACACAATGATCTTTTAAAATATTTTACATGAAAACATTTTGTGCCCCAAAAGTAAGACTAATTTTTATTTCTTTCAAAAACTCTATTTATTCTTCTAAAGTTATATCATCGCCTTCAAAGTAATCCCCTCCGGACACAATGCATTTATGCCAACGATTTTTCCAATCCTCAATGCATGCTAAAAAGTCGTCGGCAGGAATGGTCTCCAAAGCGCGCGCCGATTCTCGTTGAATCTCTTCAATCGACTCAAAACGGTGTCCCCGGAGTAGTCTTTTGAGTTCAGGGAATAGCCAGAAGTCGCACGGGGCTAAATCGGGTGAATACGGTGGTTGTGGAACGATATGGGTTTCATTTTTGGCGAAAAAGTCACGAAGAATCAATGCAGTGTGAGCTGGCGCATTATCGTGATGCAAAAACCAAGAGCTGTCTTTCCATAATTGTGGCATCCTTTTGCGAATAGCTTCACGCAAACGACGCATAACACTCAAATAATATTCCTTGTTGACAGTTTGGCCCTGCGGAAGGAATTCATAATGCACCACACCACGGTAATCGAAGAAAACAGTCAACATGACCTTGATTTTTGAGCAACTTAGCCGTGCTCTTTTCGGGCTTGCTTTATCTTTGTCACGATATTCGCTCGATTGATCGGTTGTTTCGGGGTCATAAGCATAAATCCAAGTCTCACCTCCAGTTACGATGCATTTCCACTTGTCCTGATAGTCAGAAAGCATTGTTTCACACACTTCAACGCGACGATGTTTTTTCAAAAAATTCAGTGTTTTCGGAACCAATCGAGATTTGACGCTTTTGAGGTCCAAAACATCTTTTAAAATGGAATTGACCGATTCTTTTGAAATTCCAACATCGTCAGCAAGGTCTCTAATTGTAAATCGACGGTTTGCAAGCACCAAATCTTTAATTTTTTGGACGTGAGCTTCGTCGGTTGAGATTGATGATGGTCGACCAGAGCGCTCTTCGTCTTCAACGCATTCTCTGTCTTCATTTAACTGTTTATACCACATGTAAAAATTTCTTTCCGATATAGTTTGCTCACCGAATGCCTTCTGCAACATTCTATATGTTTCCGTACATGAATATTCATTTCGCAAACAAAATTTAATGCAAGTTCTTTGCTGAATTAATTCAGACATTTTAAAAATGACCGAAATCACTTTTAGCGTCTCACAAAGTCAAGTGTAAATCAAACACTAATGAATATTTTGACGTGAAATCTCCCACAGATATCAAGAACAGTACCAACAACCTAAAAAAAAAAATTGAAATGCCATATGCTCGGGAAATTTAAATTTAAAATTGGTTTTACTTTTTGGGCATAGTAAAGTTAGTATGAACTAGATTGTATATGCTTTAAAACATATTCGAATGCAAAAACTTTACCACATACATCACAAATATTGCTTTTTTACTGGTTTGAAGAGCATTCTTATTAAGAAGATGTGTTTTACAAGTTAGTATGAAAAATTTCAGAAGTTAGTAGGAAAGAATTTCAAACTGTTATTTTTTAATGAAAATTTATAATTTGAAAAACTTCAGTTACTAAATTCGTAGATAATGTCCAACTTCAATTCAGAAGGGGACTGCATTATAAACAGGTAGTTTAACATTAAAAATTTTATGATTCTAGTGTTTTAGCTACACATATTTTCCATCAATCCAAGGTTGTCTTCAGCTGTTGAGAAAATAAAAAAAAAAACCAAATCTTTAAACAATACTATTAGAATAATAATATATATATATAAAAAGTTTTTTATATTTTTAAAACATAAATGAACGTATTCATTGCTCTTTTCATTAATTTTTTACTTATAAATCCATTATGTAATATACATAAGAAAGTTTAACATTTTACATAAAAA